GTATGTTTCTACTCAAGAAACTTTATCAAAAAAACTAGATACATGAAAATTTGATACACATCACTGATGTGCACAGGAGTGTAATCTGGTTTTAAATGATTAAGCAACTAAAAGTTCAATCATAGTATTAGTTAAAAGATAAAATCTTTGTTATATGAAAACTTTTCATGAAGTGAAAACACTGCAATACTATAAGCATATCAATATTTAAAATATTACCCAAGAAAGTCTGAGTGGGTGAGTCAAAATTTCCATTTTCATCAAATATTTACTCAGAAGCCAATCATTTAACAAGTAATACTGATTATAATATGTAGACAGGTGAAAAAGTAAACATTGTATTATATTCTATCTCTGTAAATCAAGGTATTTTAACCTATAAATTCTTTAGAGTACTCACTGAACAATCACCTACAATTCATATAATTTTACTTTCATATCCTAAGTGGTACCTTTGAATAAACTCTTCAAAACTGTAATGTAAATCAATATATATCTCTATTTCCTCCCATTATCAAAGCTAAAAGGTGGATATACCATTCAGGTCTATCAGTGATCTAGTTTTCATTACAACTTGAGAAAAATATTTGAAAAGGTTTATATACGACATTACTGACAAAGCCTCTTACATTATATTAATACCAGAGATACAGGATCTCCAACTATACTGATCATGCAGCAACCTCATTTGGGAAATTTCTGACCTAGAATAAGTTCAACAGAATTTTTTAGACAACTTTCCCAATTGCATTACCTAAATTATAAAGCTCCTATGGACACTGGCCATGAGGGGCCTGTGAAGCAACGGCTGGGGTTCTCTGCTACTTAGTATTCAGTCACGTACACAGGCCTTGTCGTAGGCAAACTGGGGGTTCTTTCAGTAGAATTATGTTTTTAAAGGAGAGCAAATTTCCAAAATGGGGTTTAAAAAACATTCACCTAAAATCTCAGTAACTAAGCAAGCCAGGGTAGTAGATGTAATAGAGAAGTATAACAGAATCATAAGTTACAATCATAACAAAGGTTCTTATTAACTGCCAATTATATCTTAGCATTATAGGCATTCTAACAAAAATCTCGTTATCCTTTAATGTTTAAAAACACAGAGCCCGCCAAATCCCATCCTCTCCCCTATTCTAAAAATTCTCTCCTCTTTTTCCTATTAATTTCTTCCTCTCTACTGAAATTTTCCCATTGGATTTCACCCATCTTAAACTTCTTTATTTCTTATTTCTCCCACTGCTTTTCAGAGAGAGTGGGAGGGCGAGAGAGGGAAGGGGAGAGGGAGGGAGAGGGAGAGAGAAACATCGATTGGCTGCCTCCTGCACGCACCCAGACAGGACCAAGGATCAAGCCTGCAACGGAGGTACATGCCCTTGGCCAGAATCAAACCCAGGACCCTTCAGTCCGCAGGCAGACGCTCTAACCACTGAGCAAACAGGCCAGGGCTCTCCCATCTTAAATTTAAAACAAAAACAATTCTTAATCCCACTTCCCCTTCAGCTACCTGTTTCTCTGCTTCCCTTTTATGTCATGGTCCATGGGAATGGCACCCCTGGCATTGTGCAGTGTGTAGCCCACATGGCTATAAGTATCTGTGCTGGAATTGTCTATACTTGTTTCCAATTTTTCCCCTTCCACTTTATGTTGAATCCAACTACAATTAGACTTTAAACCCCACTAATCCGCTAAAATTGCCCTTATCCAAATGTCAGCAAATCTTTTCTATAAAGGGTCAGATAGCAAATATTTTAGGCTTTGTGGGATATACAGTCTCTGTCATACATGCTTCTTAATTTTTCTTTTACAACACGTTAAAATGCAAAAACCATTCTTAGTTCGTGAGCTATAAAAAAACAAAAAAACAAAAAACAGGTCATGGTGGTGGGGTGAATTTGGCTTGTAGCCTGTAGTTTCCTGACCCCAACAATGTCACTAAATAGCTCAGATGGTCAATTTCCAGTATTTACCTTACTTAACCTATGTACATTATTTGATTTACACACTGATAACACTCTCCTCCTCCTTCAGTTCCCTTCCAGGACATTACTCACATTCTCCTGGATCTCCCATCACCTCACAGATCATTCTGACTCTAGTTTTCTTTGCTGGTTCTTCAATTTCCTGACCTATTAAACTAGAATGCCCCTAGGCTCAGTCTTCAGTTTTCTTGTCTCAATCCACTCTCACCCCTTGGTGATTTTATCCAGTCTCATCCATTCTTCTAGTTGGTTAGGCTAGCTTAGACTCCTCTTTCTCACACACTACTCCATCAGCTAATTCTGTTGGTTCTACCTTCCAAATATGGCTGACCCTTGAATAACGTGGGTTTGAACTGCATGGGTCCACTTATATGCAGATTTTACTCTTCCTTATGATACTCTTAACATTTTCTTTTCTCTTGCTTACTTTATTGTAAGAATACAGTATACTGGAAAAGGAATCAAGATGGCGGCATAGGTAGCCACAGTACTCGCCGCCTCCTGCAACCACATCAAAATTACAACTAAAATACAGAACCACCATCACTTGGAACCTCCTGAAATCTACCTGAACAGAAGCCCTACAACCAGGGAACTGAAGAAGCACCGAGACCGGTAGGAGGGGCGGAGATGCGGGCGGATCGGGCTGGATCGCGGAGACATGGCCACAGGCCCACACCCAGTGCCGCAGTTTAAACTTGGGAGGGACATCTCGGTGGTGGAGGTCCCCCGGAGGAGTGAGGGGTCCTAGGCCCACAACAGGACCCCCAGCCAAGGGCTACAGGGCCAGAAAGAGAAGTTCCCATAACTTCGGGCTGTGAAAACCAGCGGGGACTGTCACTCAGGGTCGCAGAGGGTGCAGGAGCCCCCAGGCTTTCCTCACAGCTGATTGGCCTGGGGGTCAATTCCTCCCAGGGACGCCAACAGCAACCAAGGCTCAACTACAACAGGACAGTGCACACAGCCCACACAGGGGAGCACCTAGAAGGCCCAGCTCAGGTGACTGGGGAGGCTGAGGCACTGGACCCTACAAGACACCTACTAGACAAAGCCACTCTACAAATTCCAGGAGACATAGCAGCTCTACCTAATACATAGAAACAAACACCTGGAAGCAGCCAAAATGCGGAGGCAAAGAAACATGTCACAAAGGAAAGAACA